TGACGCTTTTGACCATACGTCAACATCCGACGTTTTAGGGTACCCTTTAACGTCAGTTAGATGACGATCCTAGGGCGTCATCTAACTGACGCTTTACCTTTAGCGTCAGTTAGATGACGCGGGTAGGTTTAGGTCTGGGGTAGGGTTAGGATTAGAGAGCGTCATCTAACTGACGTTAAAGGGTACCCTAAAACGTCGGATGTTGACGTATGGTCAAAAGCGTCAGTCATATGACGTCTTGGGATGAGTAAAATTCTGTGTCAAAAACACCATTAGAATTGGTGTCACTCAAAAATGTTCCTAGAAGTCTCTGGTATTTTTCATGTGAAATTGTGTTATAAAAACATGGAGTTTGCAGATAAATATTGCTGTTTGTTAGTGCAATATAAATATGGTTATGATTATGGATATGATTAGGCCTACATATCATTTGTCCTTGTGTGGAAAACCTGTCTTGTTTATCTATAACTAGATTTTTGCTGTATTTTACTGATTGAAATGAAAATGTCATGCCATTTCAAAGCAAATACACATTTATGAATATCGTCCAGCCTTACCCATCACAGACTCTATGCATTTACTTTGCGAGCTGAGCGTGTTCAGTGTCAGAGACTGAGTCACTCCCGCTCTTGACGTTTCGGGACATTTCTGCATTTTCCTGCTTTCTTTTAGCTTGTATCAGAAACAGGTGGCACTCGTAGAGCCGCTCTCTGATGAATGAGTTGAGTGAGGGATCTTGTTAAGTGTATTTTTATCGGCTTCATCTGAACCCGGCCTTGAACTGCTGTTTCCTGGGGGAACAAGTCATGTAAGAACCGACTTTTGTTCATCGTGGTTTTGTGCAACGTGGCTTCGACTAACATGCTGACAGTTTCTGCATCTGGCACCGAATGTTAACTTCACTCATGGTGGAGCGGGGCCCCAAACTGCACACACACACACACACACACACACACACACACACACACAAGATTCCGCTGACATTCTCACCTATTACCCGTCATTTAGAAAACAGCGCACTCTCTCGCTCTCTCTGCAAGGTGCTAGGCAAACATACCGGCCCTGAAATATGAAAATATCGGCACTCTCCAAAGCAATTTCCTTCAGCACGGCTTTGCTCTGAGGAGAGACAGAGAGATTGAGTATAGCCCAAGATGAGAAATATGCTTCACTTTTGAATCTTTTAGGGTGTGTTCACACTTGGCATGTCTGGTTGGATTAAAACGAATCCTGGTGTGATTGCTCTGTTAGTGCGGTTCATTTGAATAAGCGTGAGCGCTGCCATCCGAACCCTGGTGTACACCAAACAAGCAGACCGAGAACACTGAAAAGATGAGTCTCGAAACTAAACGAACTCTGGTGCGATTCAAATGAAATATGAACGCAATACAGACCAAAGACAAGCAAACAAACCAAAAACGGGACATGATGTCACATGATGCGACCCTAAAAAGGACAGAATGCTCAAGCGTATCTGTTCTTTCTCATCATAGTGGCGATGTTGCCCATCACAGTTCAGTACAGGCATCAGAACCGCGTCTCCTCACAGCAGATCTGTGTTTGTGTGTGTGACGGAGGGGTTCCTGACGCTGTTTTGACTCCTTTAGCACAGAACACAGCATTGTTTTTGATGTTCGGTAAGTTCCGTTGCGTAATATACGTAATAAAAGCCGACCAACTAGGTTGTGAACATATCCCTGTGCCTTTAGGTCCGGTATCTTTAGGTTCAGTGCCAGGACGAAACGTTTTTTTTTTTGGTCCGGACCAAACGAACCAAGCAAACTGAACTACAACTGTGAACACACCCTTATAGAACTATATTCCAAGTCTTCTGAAGATATGCAACAACTTTGTGTGAGAAAGATCAAAATTTAAGTTTCTTTTAAGTCTCTTCAGATCATCATCAGAGCAGTAAAATGTTCTTCTAGGCTCTTCAGAATTTGATTAGATATTTGGATGTGAACTCTTTTGGCTCATTCTTAATTGAAACTAATAGATAATAATAGGCTTATAAACCAACATGACATCATGACTTTGCGTAAACATACACGCCACTTTCAAGTCAAGTGGCATGTTATCTATACGCATTTTGAGATATCCGCGTGTATGTCCACGCCGAAACGAACCGTCATCTTTTGCGTGTATGTCTACGCCGTTAAACGTCAGAGTGATTCCGCGTGTATGTGTACGCCGCCGTTAAATGTCCGAGCTAAACGAAGCAAAATTCATATACATCTGTGGAGCAATATTTTTTTTCCTAGGATGGTAGGGGAAGACTCATAAATAGTATTAACCCCAGTGACGGGTAGGTTTAGGGACGGGGTTGGGGTAGGTCATATATTTATATATATACAGTAATGTAACGTTAAGTTAACGGCGTTGATAAACACGCTGAAAAGCGATTATGCGTGTTGATAGCACGCCAAAAATGGAAATACGAATTGGCGTGTCATACATACGCCATTTCATGAGATCAGTCTGTATAAACAATGTTCATTAAATCACCATATGATTTAAATACTATGAAATAGTAATAGAGTAGAAAAATAAAACAACCACGTCTGGTGGAAGACAATCCTGTTTGCAGCTTAAAATATTGGGTTTTACATGTGTTGTAGAGTGAATAACAGTCTCAAGCTGTTGAGAGTTTAACATGTGGATGATCATTGTAGTTCTCTGGGGAGAATAGCCTACATAATTTATATCTCCTTTTTTGCCTATATTAAAAAGTATAGTAAATTGTGGAAAGATGAAGAAGGGGGGATTAAAATATGAGCAAGCTGGATTCAAACATGCATCCCCTCAATCCTCAAATTTGGGGATAAACTTTGAGATTACTGGGGTGTTTATCTCAAGAGAAAAATCAGGGCTCTTAAGAAAAGTCTAAATTCGCTCTTACTGCCCGAAAAGGCTGATATATTATTATTTACTGAGATCTTCATTCCCATAGGGAGTGCTAACTGCTGCACCTCAACGCCGACTGGTTTCGTTTTAAGATAAGGTCATTTAGGAACCCTGAACTGTCTCACGCACTATCAAAGGCAAAGATCACAGACTTCCACTTATTAGCTGACTCATGTTTGTATTGATCACAGAAGTGAAATGACTCAAACCTGAGACCTGAAAACACATCTTAGGCCCTTGCGCTGGTCGTCCGTCACCACATGCACAACACATAAACACTTTAGCCACGCAAACACACAGCATGGAAACCATTCCCAAGACGCTCTGATCCGAGCAAACAAACAACAGTCGTGTATTCCTGGAGGAGAGACAAGAAGAATGAATCAGAGGGTAGTGTGCACGCTTAAAGCTGGGCCGTAAGATTGCAAATGGCTTTGGAGTAATAGTTTGATCCTTCTGACATCATATTTAAGGAAGTGATATCATTTTTTGTACCTCAGGGGTTAAAAAGCATTTCATGTTTACATTAATAGACATCACCAAACACAATAGAAAAACATTCACACACACACACACACACACACACACACTCAAAATGGTGTTTTGGCAAAAATGATAGTTGTTAATTAAAGGGACAGTTCACCCAAAAATGACAATTCTGTCAGTAATTACTCTCCCTCATGTTGTTCCAACCCTGTAAGACTTTCGTTCATCTTCGGAACACAAATTAAGATATTTTTGATGAAATCTGAGCGCTTTCTCACTCCTCCATAGGCTTCAAGGTAATTTCATTCTGCCGGTCCAGAAAAGTTACGAAAGACATTGTTAAAATAGTCAGAGTGACTACAGTGGCTCAACCTTAAGTTTATCAAGCGACGAGAATACTTTTTGTGAGCAAAAACAAACAAAAATAACGACTTTATTCAACTATTCGTTTTCTTATAAATATAAGGCACTTATATGAGTGATGCTATATTAATGCAATAAATAATTATTTAATCTATACATATAACGTTCAAGTCTGGGGTCAATACAAAAAAAAAATGTTTAAAGAAAGAAATCAAAACTTTTATTCAGTAAGGATGCTTTATAATGTCAGTAAAGACATTTATAATGTCACCAAAAATTTATATTTTTTAAATAAATGCTGTTGAACTTTCTTTTCATCAAAGAATCCTATCAAAAATGTGTCATGATTTCCACAAAAATTCTAAGCAGGATTTCAATATTTTTTGTCATATGGTCGTCCCCCAATGTCTTTGTTGGTTACAGACCTGGTTTGGTCCTTAGAAGGGAAAATACAATTTCTTGAAAGTTAGTTCTATTAGCAGGAAGTTCATTCTAAGGAAATTAAATTTGAAATTAAAAGTTCTCTTCTAGCCCCAATAGAAGTACGTGTATAATAGTTGTGCTCATCCCACAGACATACCTGAGGTTTATTTACAATCTGCAATGAGTTTTATGGAGAAAAAAAAAAGATGAAGCAATAGTTTAGAATACAGGTTTCCTGTTTAACAAGCATAATTTGTTGCTAGACATCTGCTCGTAAAAGTAAATTCCGGCAAATCCTTGTCTTGCGTAATCATTTACTTTATGGGAAAAATGTAATGAATATCTAACCAACAACAATTTTGTCAAAAAGTACAGAAGGTTGTATTATATGTAACAGAATGAGTAAAACGGAAAAAGGTGTTCAAAACGAATTCGGTATAGTAGAAATTCTGAAAAATTATTTTCATGGTTTCAAATAATAAAGACAGTTTTGCCCTCATTGTGCAAATTCAGAGTCTAGAACATGTGTCAGATTAATTTCATTTATGACTTTAAACTCTCATGATCTGTCAATCTTCCTTTAGTATAAAACCACAAAAAAAATGCCTGGAAAGACAAAACAGCAGGTTCAGCCGACCACAACCACAGAACACAATCTCACCAAACTGCACTTTTCACCATCTCTAATTTGTATGTGTATATGTTCTATGTTATGTTTAATATATCGTTTGGATTGTTGGCTGGGCATCAATCCTTGTCAATATGGCAGAATGGAAGCAGTCCTTGTGTGACACCCTGACCGGTTTCTTTGCTCCCAGGTTCCTTGAGTCCAGATATCTCCGTCCGCAGTCTCCCACAAAGAGATCCACTGGCCAACAGCCAATTACTCCATCCTGGACTTCTCAACTTCACCAATAGAAACCAGATGGAGACTCATACAACAATGCTGTATAGCCAGCACTTGAGAGAGAGAGCGATAAAGAAAAAGAGAGGTGAGACAAGTGTTGAGGATCAGTTGAGAAAGGCGCTAAATTCCTAAATCAGTCTTCTGAAGCCATATGATAGCTCAGACTGAAACTGAAGTCCTTATTTGCTGTAAACTTGCCCTCTGGCGTTGCTCTCAAATTTGATTTTTGTTTGTATGCATTTAAACGTGACACCTCAAGACTTGCTAGGTTCGACATTTTCACATGTAGTGTAAAAAACTGAGAACAGTTCAAATCAAGGCAACATGATGCATTAAAGGGATAGTTCACCCCAAAATGAAAATTCTGTCAGTAATTACTCACCCTCATGTTGTTCCAACCCCGTAAGACTTTTTGTGCGCAAAAAAACAAACAAAAATAACGACTTTATTCAACTATTTATTTTCTTCTCTGTGGGCCTCGAGATAGTTCACATAGTGAAACTGCGCAGCGCTTCTGTGTTGTACGTCACACGCATCATGACCAGCGTCGGCCAATAGTGAGCTTACGTGTGACGTACAACACAGAAGCGCTGCGCAGTTACACTACGTGAAATCTCGAGGCCCACAGAGAAAAAAATGAATAGTTGAATAAAGTCGTTATTTTTGTTTGTTTTTTGCACACAAAAAGTATTCTCGTCGCTTGATAAACTTAAGGTTCAGCCACTGTAGTCACTCGGACTATTTTAACGATGTCTTTAATAACTTTTCTGGGCCGGCAAGTTTCGATCCCTTAAGAAGCCTATGGAGGAGTGATCCAGCTCTCAGATTTAATTAAAAATATCGTAATTTGTGTTCCGAAGATGAACGAAAGTCTTACAGGGTTGGAACAACATGAGGGAGAGTAATTACTGACAGAATTTTCATTTTGGGTGAACTATCCCTTTAAGAACTTTCTTAACTTTGTTTTGAATTTGTTTGTTCGTTAAATAAATTTACATGATTTCTGATTCAGTAAATTTTCAATTAGCAACACATGAAATAATGATTTGCTATTTTTGCATTCTTGTATATATAACAATTATGAAGTGATCTCTGCCATTTTTGACAAATATATACCGATCAGAAGTTTGGGATCAATATGAATTTTTTTGAGAAGGGATATATTAAATTGGTTAAAGGTGACAGCTATAATGTTATAAAATATTTCTACTTCAAATAAATGCTGTTCTTTTGAACTATTCCTGAAAAAGAAAATCACAATTTCCACAAGAATATTAAGCAGCGCCCCTGATAATAAGATAAGACTAACAATACAAATATTATTTTTGATCATTTGAAATGTTTCTTAAGCATCAAATCAGCATATTAGAATGATTTCTGAAGGATCATGTGACACTGAAGACTGGAGTAATGATGCTGAAATTCAGCTTTGCATCACAGGAATAAATTACGTTTTAAATATTCAAATAAACAAGTGATCATAGATTATGCTTTATTCATGAAAAGTCCATTGGCATGGCTGCTGCAATTATTGGAATAACAATGCAAACAGCATGCAAATAAACAATGCCATCAGTGTGCACAGTTGATTACTATAGTCATTTTATGGTGCTTTTTAGTCTCTTTTGAAGCTTGCCAGCCCATTCTGAATGCCTAAGAGGTGTAAAGGAAGGAAGGAGAGAAATATGGAGGGATATGAAAGAAATGTGTGCGTATGTGCGTGTTGAAGTAAAACCTGGAGTGTCAAAGCAGCATAATTGATGTCTTTGTTTGGTTGGCTTGGTTTCAGTGACTATATGAATCCTTGCAGTGTAGCAGGGCTGTGAGAGAGAGAGAGAGAGAGAGAGAGAGAGAGAGAGAGAGAGAGAGAGAGAGAGAGAGAGAGAGAGAGAGAGAGAGAGAGAGAGAGAGAGAGAGAGAGAGAGAGAGAGAGAGAGAGAGGGGCAGTAAGCAGGGGGTTGATGGAGTAGCAGGCTGAAAGAAAGGAGCCCTTTCACATACCCATTGACCGCTAAGTAGTAAAGGGAGAACAGAGCCATGGTGCTGACTGAGAACACCTGAAATACACAACACTGACCAGAGATCAGTGCTATGAACTCGCCATAACCCCCACAAGCCTTTCTGTCTCACTCTCTCCTTTTACAAGCCGACAAGTGTCCATTTTTGCCTCAACTCAACAAACTCTTTTTCAAACACTTAATCAGTCAAATCCAGCTAGACTTTTGACTACCAGCTATCAAGGTGTACAGGGTTTTATTAGCTCAGGAAACGTGTTAACTTCTGAAGAAGGACTACGGCCAGGCTTATAACAATCTGAAGGAACATTTTTCTATCCAAAAGAATAGAATCGAGGGAAATGTTCAGTACTGAAAATCATAACAACAACTTTTTTAATTCAAGTTTCACAACTTCGTTTCAACTATTTTAAGTTGATTATTCACTAAATGCAAAATGACGTGTTCAGCCAATTTTTTTCAACCCAATACGGCTTGAATTTCTGATTGAGTACATTTTTAATTAACAACCAGTGTTATTTTATAATAGTTTTCATGTTAATTTTAGCTTATATATTTCATGTTAATTTTATATATATACCTACTAGCAAACCTCATACTAAATAGTATAAAGTTTTGATAAAAATATTTCAGTCTAATTAAAAATGTATTATTTTACCCAATTTTTCCTTTTAATTGCATCATTAAAGTGTGTCAGGATTGACGTCAATGTGAGCAAACATTATGCACCAAGTGAATCCCGGCTTTTGACTTGTCTTGAGTCATATGGACTATTTTATGATGCTTTTTTGTCCTTTCTGGCGCTTGAGAGGTCATAGTCACTGTACAGTTTTCATTGTGTTGAAAAGAACAGCTTGAACATACTAAAAAATGTCTCATTTGTGTTCCACAGAAAAGATGAGAAATGTTATAATTTTCTTTTTGTGTGTGTGTGTGTGTGTATGTGTGTCTTTCTTTACCTAGTTCCAAAAAAAAGTTTCCTTCCAACTGAGTTCCATCAGTCGAGGAATTAGAAACATTGGCTTTCTCTGTCTGCAAAGAGAAAGAAAAAACCTTGAGTTTTTCATTTTTTCCTTCTCTCTCCAAAAAGCAGTTCCAGCTGTACTCTCCTTAGCTCTTGCCTAATCAGGTTTAAGCTAATTATGAACTTAGATCAAATTCTATAAACAAACACGGCGTTCAAATCACTTACTTACAACGTCCCGTCGTGGCTTATAGGTTGAAAGAGCGGCTATACGTCCACCTGCCCCCCACCCAATGCAAACCATAAAATCTGAGTTTCCTTCCTTCCTTGCTTGCTTTAAAATCAAGGGACTGTTTCAGCTAGTGCTTGTGCAGATATCTGAGTATAATGATGGTGGAAATGAAAAGCAAGAACATTTCTTTGTTCATTTGTTTACGTAGAGGATGAAGATGATGATAAAGATGACACACTCCGTATGTTTTCCTGTAATGCACTGCAGATCTTGCGACTGACATCCTGCAAAGAACAGAGGAATGTGGAGTTGAAACAGTAAAATAAACTTTGCTCTGGTTTTCACTTGTCCTTTAGAGTCATTTATATAGCTCAGTTTAGAAACGCTGTATTGGGACTGCCAGTAAAGTTAGAAATGACTTGCAGCTCTTGGTATTCAGTTTGGGTTTAATAATTTAGACAACCTGCTATGTTCCACTTATCATCTTTCTTAACAATCGCCAATATGCTACAAAATATGCAAGCTAAAACCTAAAAGCATGACTTTGAAAAATAGCCCGGCACACCAGCACATCTCTGCTGCACGACTGTTTCTGAAACTTAAACCACTGAAAACGCCAACAATGAAAAGGAAGTAATGGAATGTCTCATAAACAGCATGGAGAAAGCCATCACTCTCGATACGGGCCTAAAACCCAACACAAGCTGTCATACATGATTTTGTACTGATCTGAGAGGAAGCCTTTGAGTTTTAATCTAATTCTGCTGTCAAACACAATTTACAACACGGCAGACAATGAAAGGTAAACGAAGCAGGGTTCTTGCAAAAGATTGCGTAATTAACTCAAGACTTTGCATTTTTCGAGAGATAAACAACTTGTCAAGACGGCAGCTGATGTGAATTTCGGTTAAATCGCAATGCACTCAGCATTTGGAAAAGGAAAATAAACAACAGATTAAAAAAAAAAAAACCAGGCTGGTTAATTGGGTAACCTCCTAAACGATTAAAAGGGAATTTAAGCAATATTAGTGTTCGTACTTATGACAAGGTTAAGGGTTCATTCAAATCCCTAACGTTGTCACATAACTCATCCTGCACCATTTGTGCTATACAGCCATGAATGACAGTTGTGCTATATAATTTCTAAGCAATCAGATTCATGATTTGTGCCTTGTAGGAAATAAAAGATGTGAAAAATTACCCAGAACACCTTAGAAACCATGAGCAACACCACAGCAATGCCCCATACAACCAGCATTGGTGACATGTCTTGCATTGGTGAGCAATCGTTGTTTTGTTCAGAATTTCGTAATAGAAATACAGAAATGATTCAGAAAATGCTTGCATTTTCAGCTCCAAAAGAGACACTCATAGGTTGTTTACCCTAAAAATCTGTAGTGGCAGGTCACGTTAGTCAACTCGCATCAGCTGACTCTCAGCTGATCCACGTCTACCTTTAGGAATACGACGCCTATCACTGTATTCATATATAAGCTCCTTCAGTATTATCAACAGCTTTCGCGTTTCTCAGGAGCCAATTACCCTCCTCCATCCCCAGCTCCTCCTGTCAGTCAGGATTTGGCATTCTGATTCCCCTTGAATCAGAATAAATTCTCGAATTCTGTTGTACATTATAATTAATAATGATATCTGCAATACATTCATGTTGGTTCTGTTCTGTTCACCCTAAGGGGGGTTATCGCTGCTCTCCTGCTCTTATCCATGCTAGGCTGCATGGATGCGCAGGGAGTTCTTGCCCAGAACAGAACCACACCGCCAATCCAAACTGTATGCTAACTGTCAATCGTATTTGACGATAGTGGTCCTGACAGAATGATAGTAAATTAGTTCAATCAAAGAGCTTAGACTCTACCAAAAATGGAAGACATAGGGAATATTCATACTTTTTGTAATTCTGTTTTGGTGCAAAAGTTACACACTTCCGCTTTAACTTGATGAGTTGTGATGGCTCCTCTATGAAGTGACTGATTGACATTTGATGCTTTTGTTTGTTTATGCGTATGACAAGCAATCTTATATCTCTAGGTTTTTGTGAAAGCAAAAGCACATGAAAAACTGCACTGCACTCACACAACTCAACACGAACAAATCACCCCACAATCGGCCTTCACACCCAAGCCTTCATGCAGCCTCCGTCCGAACTCGACGCTTCTCGCCAAAGCGAAAACGAAACACTATAAAACACCATTTAGCCCTGTCATGATGTCATCGTCCCTCTACTCATTTTAACTTATCAGCTCTACATTTAATGACTCAGCAGAGGCTGAGAGCGCTTACCTTGGGCCAATAAATTCAAGCAGAGGAGTTTCGAGTTATTTTGATGACCTTGCTCCTTCCTTTTCGCTTTGCAGGGCACCATGCTGCAAACACCAAGCGTTTCAGGCTCCAGGGAGGGTCATGCACCTCTGAACGCTTCTGACCGGAAACTTTATAACAGTGGTGACCTTGGAATCAACCTAATCGTGAAGAAGGACGAGAAAAAATGACATAAAAAAATACTAGAGACTGGTTCCCTCACATGGCATAACCGTATATTAGTGCTGAACAGGCCGTAGTGAGACCTAGCAGAGAGACAGCGCTTCCCCACCATTGCTGGAATTTTCCGTCATTTATGAGACAAAACGTCCCCACCATTTTTTGTCATTTATGAAACAACACTTCCCCGCCATTTTTCGTCATTTATGAGACAATACTTCCACACCTTTGCTGGAATTTTCCATAACTTATGAGACAACACTTCAACACCATTGCCGGAATTTTCTGTCATTTATGAGACAACGCTTTCCCGCCATTGCTGGAATTTTCCATCATTTATGAAGCAATGCTTCCCCACCATTTTCCGTCATTTATGAGACAACACTTCCCCCACTATGCCGGAATTTTCCGTCATTTATAAGACAACGCTTCCCCGCCATTGCCGGAATTTTCCGTCATTTATCAGACGTTTGTGGTACGTTTACTGTATAGCCTACTGTGAAGTTGTGAACCTCGCTTTACAGGCACAATAGCAGCGAGCACACACTGGCAGTGATCTGTCAGTCATATAATGCAGGTCTATGGTCACCACCTCAAAGAGCATGCACAGAGAAGTCCAAATTAAACATGATTTAATGACTCGTAAATGTAAGTACACATTGATGGCCTAAGACACGAAACGAGCGGTTTGTGTGAGAAAACGAACAGTATTTATATCGTTTTTACCTCTTGTAACCACAGCCATGTCGAAGTGATCTGAGGGCGCGGGCGCTTCGGTCTGTGGTGACAAGAGGTAAAAACGATATAAATACTGTTCGTTTTCTCACACAAACCACTCGTTTCGTGTCTTAGGCCATCAATGTGTACTTACATTTACGAGTCATTAAATCATGTTTAATTTGGACTTCTCTGTGCATGCTCTTTGAGGTGGTGACCATAGACCTGCATTATATGACTGACAGACAAGAACGGTTTGACCTAAAAATATCCAAATTGAAACTTCTGCAGAAACAAAGACACCTACATCTTGAATGCCCTTGAGGTAAGCTAAAACATACCAAAAATGAATTTCAGAGTGATCTATTCCTTTAATACCTCCTCAGAACACAAACTGCACAGCAATGCCCTGGCAATCATCGTGGTGAAGAGGTAAAACACCACTTGCATTTACTTCAGAAAATCTAGTTAGTAGAGGTTGGTTGGTTTGAGCTGCGCCCAATAGTTGGCAGAGATTCTGCCTGGTAAGCAAACATCTTCAGAAAGACTCTTTTTAGTTTTCTGGAGACGGTTCCCCATCATAATTTTTGAACAAACGGAGCAAAGAAAACAAAACGTCAAAAACCACAATTTATTGCCGCTGCCCTTGAAAAGGCTCTCTCTGTTCTGGCCAGCAGCGGCTCAGCGTTTACACTCGATTTCTACTTCTGGATGGCCGGATAGTAAGATATCTCTCTGTCATTCTCTACTGAGGAGCCAATTCAGTTCATTTGCAAGCTCCTCGCCCCCCGAACCCTGTCTGACATCACTCGCTAGTTGAACTTTACTATACCAATGCGTCGTTTACTCAAGTGTGGCGTTTTATTATCAGAAGTGCTATTAGAGGAGAAAGAAGTCTCCTTGCGGTTTATAGGGCTTGGGTAAGAATTTCAGAAGTTGGTAGAACAAAAATATGGGCATTTGTTATGCAACCACGTGAGAAAAGAAGGAACAGCAAGTTGCCTGAAGGTTTAACTGAGCTATTAAATAACTCTCCATATTGTTAGCAGCCTATTTAGAGGGGCTGCACTCTTGTTTGGGAGTTTAAATTACCATTCAGGGTATGAAATGGGGATCTGGTACTTAAAGGGGGGGTATCGAGTAGCTCAAGCCCTCCCGTTATAGCCCCTAAACTGGCCTGCTTGATGTCTTCTCCTCTGGAACGGCATTGTCCCACGTTGGCGTACCGTTAGTGTTGCATTTGGGAGCTGTTTGCTGCCACTGTAAAGAGTCAGATGGGACACTCAATGAAAAACAGGCAGCAGTAATAAAATAGCAACTAAACAAGGAGCCACTGAGTAGCGTCGGCCTCCTACAGCGCTACAGGGAGCAGAGTGCAACTCAGATGCCCACAGCCAAACCAGAGCATGTCTACAAACTGTAAACAGATGCGTGCAAATGTACGCCTTTAAAAAGGCTGAGAGTGGGCATTGGGATTCTTTAATTGTTTATTCATAACCTGTAGTTTTTTTTCTCAAAGTTACAAAGATTATTGGAGAACATGTTGCAAGAAAATATGGTAACACTTTATTTCCGCTTTAGACACTCTAATAACTAACTTTGCAACTACATGTCAACTATCTCTCATTAAAATATAAGTAGACTGTCTGCTTAATATCTGCTAACACTTTATTTTGATGCTCCTCAACAGACATTTTACTGACTATAAGTAACTTTACAACTCCCTTTCAACTTATTCTACTAACCGTAACACTTAACCCTAACAGTCTACTAATACTCTAATGAGAGTTAGTTGACATGTAGTTGCAAAGATAGTTTATAGTGTCTAAAGTGGACCATCGAAATAAAGTGTAACCGAAAATACTATTTCAGTCGATCTACTTTAAAATTTCACACCTAAGTTAATGTGTTACTTGCCATTTCTATTTAATTATTTGTTGTTTTAAAAATGTACTTGCAATTTCGGAGTGAAAATGGTTTCAAAGTAAATCCTACACCAGGTTTTTTTTCTTTTCAGTTTTGAAACAATATTGAGATCACATGGTAATGCACTGTAAAAAAAAAAAAAAAAAGTAATACAGTAAAAAAAAGGCAGCTTGTGGACAGAAACTCACCATAAAAAATACTGTGACAATGTTTCCAGAATTACAGGATGCTTGTACATTTTACAACATAAAACTGTATATTTCATTAAGTGATACAATAGAAAGCCACATTATGAGTTCATCAGACAATGGTCTGTTCATAAAAATGTCCTTTTCTCACATCTAGATGGTGCATATGGTCATAAACACAGACAAAACACCATTAACACACATGACACTAATAAAGTAATGCAATTAACTAAATAACAGAAAATGTAACATTACTGATAATCTAAGGAGAAACCAGATTATGTATACAAAATATAATTATGTGTGATGTCACAGGGACTGGGAATGTGCTTTTACTGTTTTTCACCATAAATGATATGGTAATTAATAGTTTTAACTACCATAAACCATACATTTGACAGTAAAATTACATATAATGCCATGCTAAACCATTTATAATTGTTCACTGTAAGGTATCTTACAGTTAACCAAAGGTTTTACTGTAGCATTTTTATAGTATTTGTCTATAAAAATAAATTACAAACATTTTGTACAGTGTAGGAATGATCATTTGAAATGAAAAACATAAAAGACATTTTAACATTAACATCGTAAAAGCCTTTTGCACTTGGCACTATACAGTGAAATATCCCTTGCTACAAAAACTAACCACTGTTTTGATAAAATACCATAGTAACGGCAATTACTGTTACTACCGTAAAACCTAAATAAATTAACGTGGGATATTCTTTAAACAGAGTAAGACACTCTCAGAATCTTTCTGTCATTGTTTAATTTATTTTTTTAGTGACTAATACTGAGTTACCACAGTTTTATTGTAGTAACTATAACTGCAACTGTGGTATTTTGGCAGAAACTATAGTTGCCAAAGTCAATTTTTCTCAAGAAAGGAGTTAAAAAAAACCCTCCCAACCACAGTTTATATCAAAAATGCCACCATACAGTTATTGTTAATACTGTAAAACCATAGTAGATTAATATACGGTGTTCTTGAAACAGTGTGAGTGTCATTTTGTTTAGTTTTTCATGTAAGAGGTGAGTAATAGGCCTACTAAGTTACCACTGCTGTTTGTTTTTGTTGTATATAAGTCTAGGCCTACTACTGTGTTTTAGCATGGTTTCCATGGTAAATATAGACGTGGCTTATCTAATAAATCATATGCTCATTCGATAAGATAATTAATCGAGACGTTATTAGGCTAAGCCATATTGCGGTAGTAAGTTGAATGATTTATAGAGGCTGATAAATTGTTGAGCGTTTCATTAGCCACACGCCTCTCAACAGCACTTAACTTACACCTCGTGCATTACATGCGCTTTCACAAATGGGCCTGTTATGCTACGCAATTAGCGCTGAGTGAGTGTTGCACAGCTTCGGGCAACGCGTCAGATCTGGCGGTCTCTCTGAGCCCCTTAAACCCTGTGCAGCGTTTGCTGAGTTGTTATTGTGTTACCAAATACATGAAAGATATGAGGTCAGCGCTGTGTGTTGTGTACAGGGCCCGCAGCCGCTGCCAAGCAAAACACGCGTGGCCGTGCCACCGTTTAGTCCAAGCTAAGCGACGCATGCAAACACGTTCCCGCCAGTGCTGTCGAGTCACATTGCTGAGGTTTTCAGCATCTCGGCTTTCAGCACCAAAGTCTGTTAATTGATTCTCTGTAGAGTAATTGTGTGATATACAATTTCGCAGCGAGATGTCGAAGTAATTGGTGGTGTTGGAGCGGCTGTTGGCAGCCCATCATGCTTTCAGGGAAAAGTTGTGTGTTCAGAGCATAAGAGTGAGAGAAAAGCATTTTATGCTAATCATTGTGTCGAAAATTAGCTCACGGCCTCAAAACGAGAGGATGGTGCAACTGGAAAACATTAAAATCACTGTTTACTATTCAAAATGTATTCTTGATTGAACACCCTGGTTTTAAGGGGTGTGCGAGCAGCAGTGGCAGGTTAGTGTCTCTCAGATGTTTGTGTGCTGCATGGTTTTTATTAGGAAGGGCGTTTATGACATGTCTTTTCACCTAAGCATGACAGGCCGCGAGCCAGGAAACTCTGAACAAATGCATCCACTTCTTTGTTTTAGTGCACAACTGAATAGCAACATGTGTGAGGCTTTAGCGTCTTCACACATACTCTGTATGAGATGTTTGGTAAGAGATGGGAAGACAAGATACAACCCTAGCAACTAACAGTTTAGTAGGCTAAATGTCAACTGTGGTTTACTATATTAAGAGTGGGCCAGTGTTGTGCCTGAACGCGTTCAATGAACGATAGTTCATGAAATCGTTCATATTTTGGGCGAACTGTACTGAATTACTGCCTGATGAACGTTACTGTGAACGCGTTTATTCTGGTGTCTGTGAACGCACGCTCTCTCAGTTTAACTTCGTTCAATAGGGTGCCAGATTTCTATAGAGCCTTCCAGGCGAAAACCCGGCTAAAACACACGTAACAGGCCTTAAAGGAGCTGTATGTAAGAAATTTATTTCAATTAATCATAAAATGGCCCTAAAATGTCACTAGACATTAAGAAATCATGTACATTTCAAATACTTATATCACTGACAGCAGTAGTCTGGCCAGGATATTGTCATTTAAAAAGTGCAGTTGCAGCCCTCAACTGATGTTGATGTTGTCATGTTGTGTTTTGGTCTGATGCTCCACCCTCCACCTATCTACCAATCACGAAGTCAGTAGTGTTGCGGCATCCGGGTTGCCAGCTCTGCTCTAGTTACCACAGCTGCAGCTCGTCACGTTCCTGCTGGATCCTGCAGCCGATCTGGCAACCTCGAGTCAGGGAGGAGGGGGAGGGGATACACCACTCTACAGTAATTTGAAAGTGATTGCAGTACTAGTTTTGGCCACAATCTTACATACAGCTCCTTTAATATGTAGCGAAAAAAAACACCCAATCTGGCAACACCAGCCACCAGCGTCGCATCGCACTGCCGCGTGCATCATCAAAACAAAAAGCAGCATGTAGTCCACAAAGCAGCGAGCGAGGAGGCGTCGTATGATCATTTAAACGAGTTTTATGACAAGATCGGTGAGGATGGGAAAAATCTTACATTTCTGTGCAAACTTTGCCCGTCGATAAAATAATTGCTGTCTGTGGTTGTATATGGGCTGTGGCAATAAAAATAAATAAAAAAAAGCTCGCAGCAACATATGGAAAAAAAGAACTATGAACTAGTTCATTTTTTGAAGTATGAATATTCCCAACACTGGAGTGGGCATTCTTATAGTGAAAATTTATTCAGACACAGTCCCAGTCAATATTGCTCACTCTGTATTTTTACTTTGTATACACACTACTGTCTAAAAGTTTGGGGTCTGTAAGATTTTTTTAAAGAAATCTCTCCTGCTCACTAAGGCTGCATTTATTTGATCAAAAATACAGTAAAAACAGGAATATTGTGAAAAATTATTAGCATTGAAAAGAACTGTTTTCTATTTGAATACATTTTAATATGTAATTTATTCCTGTGATGCAAAGGTGAATTTTCAGCATCATTACTAACTATTCGTTCAGAAATCATTCTAATATGCAGATTTTCTGCACAAAAAAAACATTTATAATTTATCATTGTTGAAAATGGTTCGTATCTTTGTGGAAACCTTGGATTCGGAACAGCAGAACAGCAATTATTTGACATAGAAATCTTTACGTATCGGATATATCTGACTAAGGTGTCAAAGATCAGAATTGAAAATGTCAGATTCAATGTGACAATCAGATCTGTGTCAACTTTGAGGGTAAAAATCTAATTTGGGCCACATTTATCTGTAATATAGTCCTGATCCAGTGTGGGTGGATAAGAGGCCAAATGTCACATTTATACCACCTCTAAAAATAATAATACAGCCCGAGTGCCACATAACTGAGCGATACGCTTATATACTCGCTTGGGAAACTGGGTGGACCTAAATGACCTTTGCAGTCAACTGAAACTCATTGCACTCCAAGATTCAACAAGGCATGTTGTGAGTAGCTGTAGTGTCAATACTGCCCCTGCCAAACATCCTCACCATAACTTTGGCCAACCTTACGCAGCATGCCGAGTTCCGAGATTTGACTTGTGAGAGAGCGTTTGGGATTGTTTGCCAGTGTTTTGCTGTTTATGATGCCCTGGGGCGATTGTTTTGAGAGCTATAAACTAATGCAAATTTAATTTGAAGTCAACCAATTAAAGAAGTATTAGGGTCCGTGCTAACCTTTCTTCACCTCGCGCCAATGGTTCGAGAGGGAATGTAGATTCTTGGCGTTTCTCGACCTCTCCGAGTTTCCTTTTTAGTGCGAAACATTCAAGATAGCCATGATGTTGCTCGCCTCAATCCTACATGACTAAGAAAAAAGCTATGCTATTGCTCATGGCTAATTATCCTCTTGCTCAACTGGTAGAGATACCAATAGCAATACAAAGCACTTGCTGGTAAAATGTACATGTTGATGTAAATGTTTATGGGTTAGCAATCCATATGTATCCAAGGTGAAATAGATCTTGGCTCTGGAAAAAAAAAAAAAAAAGGAAATTGAATGTTATTAAATGTAACAGTGATGCATTTCAATTGACCAGAATAGTGTGAAAAGATGCCCAAATAATAGGCAAAATCAACATGAAATAAATTTTTTGAGGGGGGGGGGGTTTGGGTTCTACCATTAAAAAGCTCGGGGTCAGTTAGATTTTTTTTAAAGAAACCAATGCTTTTATTAAGCAAGTGACGGAAAAGACACTTATAATGTTACAAAAAATTTCAATTTCAAATAAATGCTGTTCTTTTGAACTTTCTATTCATCAAAGAATTCTGAAAAATATATCACAGTTTTCACAAAAAAACTGCGCATCTGCTACAAATAAATAATAATAATGTTTTCTTGAGCAGTAATATTGTAGTAATAATTCACAATATTACTGTTTTTTTTTACTGTATTTTATCAAATAAATGCAGCCTTCGTTTTAAGGAAGTTATTAAAAAAAAATCTTGCCGACCCCAAACTCATAAATGGTACTGTATTTTCAAATGGAACAGGACATTCAACAGGAACCATTTTTGGATCTGATTTTATCATTTGGGAATGGATTAGATTGTGAAAACTGTTTCTTACTATCGAAAACAATCCAGGTGCTTATATGAGGGTTTGAGAAGGCATTCATAACATCCTCTGAAAAGGAAAGTAATTTCAGATGCGAAACAAACTACTGCATTTAGATTTCATTTTAAAAAGACCTTTTTTTTAAAGAAATATGTGCACCAGAAATGAATTTTCCAGAATTAGAAACCAGGAATGTGCATTACAATTAATAATGTAGGCTAAATCAGGTTTATTTTGTAGACAGTAAAGCAAGGTCATGGGTTCAATTCCCAGGGAATCCATGAATTGTATATTGAATGTATTGTAAGCAAGAGCATCATTAAGCTGCTCCGACATATGCAATCAATTTTATAATTTGCGAATATCACATATACAACATTACATTTAAAACAGCTTCAGAACAAGTTTATCCAGCTGTAGTTTGTTATGCTAATTTGTTAACACAGCTGTCAAGAACAAGATGTTCAGCGCTAACACTTGTTTGATTGTTTACATCAGCTGTGACAAAAAGAGTCCATTTGAAAGCATTTCTAGAATGAAATCGCCAACCTTTGAACTCAGGAAATCTTTGCTTGTGGGCGCACCTCCACCCTACCTCGCTACGCTGTACCCCACAACTCTTTATGGTGGGGGTTTATTTTTCTAAGTCTAAACTTTACACACAGGCCAGCTAATTAGGCCCGGGTTTGTTGTTTCACCTCCATCTGTGTCACATGAGTGAAATATAATGATATGTGCTGACCCTTCAACTTCGCATGTGCTGAGTTCTGTCTTTTTATGATATGTGCAACTAGACTTTATGGAAAAGGTCACGTTTTTATCTTCAAATTTCGTTATCTCAGATGAAAAAACATGATTGGATTGGTATCTTTGTAGTTGATTTTGGCTTTGGGGCGTCTAGATAAAAGCCACATTTTTAGACAAGTACTTCAGTCAAGTTAAAAAAATTGAAGTACACTTAGGACAAGTCAACATTTGTGAAAACGTGATGTTCCCTTAAAGCGGACCAAGCTGTAGCAACAGCCTTTTCATGCTTTTATGGCTTGTAACCGACTGTGGACACCATACAGTATATTTACATATTTCTTAGTTCCTGTGTGGCCTTGCAAACCTTATAGCCCAAATGATGCGTCTCTGGGTGATTCAGGAGTTAAATACTGGAGAAAGAAATATATACTTGTATAGGTAATAACATAATATAGAACATATAAGGCTATTAACATGTTTCACCTCACTGAACTCATTGCATTATTGTGAACGTTTGAGTAATGGACTAATTCTGCAAAGAAAGTGCACACTTGAAGCTTTTGTATTGACATTTGCTGTGCATGATTGGTCAATATTTTCCTTGCCTTGTTTCCAAAACTTGTCGCCAGTCTGTTCTTCATGCCAAATTGACATACTGACAACGCACACACACACACTTGACACACTTCGACTCTCGCTCACACACACCCCACACCCACGACGTGCCTAAGCGGGATGGTCGTTGCACATGAACCGGCACTCCTTATTTATAGCTCTCTTTCCCATGGTTTTTCTCACAGGAACGGGAGCAGAGCAGGAATCAAACGTTTCCTCTCCTGTCTTCATCAATCACTCCTTATTAATCCAAACATGCTGGAGAAGGCAGCCCTCGCTTCACTTGAGGAAAAAGGCCCGCTTTGTTTTCTGTTCTCATTGAGTCAAGCCGGGTTTGAAATGAACCCTCTCAAGGAATCAATGGGTTAAGAGCATAGACTGTAAAAAAAGATAAGCTATAACTGTATCTGTGAGAGAAATGTGGATCCAGGTGAGCGATTCACAGATGAAATTGTACACAAATGATCAGACTTACCATTTAAACTAAAATTTAGAATAATATGAGTTATGATTACCTTTAGATGTTATTTCATTTAATTATTTCATTTTGTGTTTTGAGATGTATCATGGAAGCCAATTCTGAGTAAATAATAAAATAGGTAACTGCGAGATAAAGTTTAAAATAAGAAAAATAAAGTAAAAAATGTCACAATTATGAGAAATAAAGCTGCAAATGTGAAATGTCACAATTTTGAGATGTACAAATTCACATTTTGAGATTTAAAGTCACAATGTCAATAAGTAAAGGTGCAGATGTGAGAAATAGTCACAAGTCACGTCTATGAGAAATCAAGTAATAGGTGCAAGAAATAAAGCCATGAAATAGGAACAAAGATGCAAATGTAAGAAATTAAGTTGCAAATGTGAGACCGATGCAATTATGAGAAATAGTCACAAACGTAAGATTAAGTTGCAGAGATATAAAGTCACATTGCGACATTTAAAGTCACAAATGTGAGAAATACTCATTAATCACACAAATACAGTCACAATTGTGAGAAATAAAGTTACAAATGCAATGAATAAAGTAAAAAATGGGAGAAATAACAAGCATGAGAAATAAAGATGCAAACATAAGATCAAGTTGCAATTGTGAAATACGAAGTCGTAATTATAAGAAATAGTTGTTAGAAATTAAGTTGCAGTTGTGAGATACAGTCACATTTTGAGAAAAAAAGTCACATTGTGAGATATAAAGTCGCAATTACGAGAAATAAAGGTTCAAATGTAAGAAATTAGGTCGCAAACGTGTGGTTGTCACAACTTGATATGCAAATTCACATTTTGAGATCGTCTCAATCAGTCTCAAAATCGTCACAATTACTTTTATATATACTGTATATAGCCTATATATTTACTCTGAAACATAAACGTGCTTCCATTGTTTGCTGACATGACCTTGAGTGAGTGAATGAAGCACTAATTCTTTCATTATAAACTGTATGTTGGTCATGAGTCGTAAAAATGACTTTTAGTCTGTGCATAACAGACAAAGAACCAAATATGTTGTACTTACACACATCATCATGTCCCGTATGAATTCACCCAACTGCTTGCTTATTTTTCAGGGATGGGTGACATAGGGATGAACAACATTTAGGCAGTTCCTCAAGAGGCCAGCTATAATACTACCATGTTGTCCAGTCCACCTCACCTCCTCCACTGTTTCCTGAAGGCATAAAGGTGAAAGCAGTGAAAGCTAGACAAATATTTCACTGGTAATAACGGTGACATTCTCCTTCCTGAGTTTGGAGTGTAGAAACAGAGGGACTTGTGACATTTAAGTTAAAGCTCCACAGCTATGAGGAAGAACTTCTCATCTAGCATAAACAGTCATTCGGAAAGCTACGCAAAGACAACTCAAACATTACCTCATCGACTCCCTGCTGTGAAAACATCCCTAGTTCAAAGCGCCGCAGTGTTTTTGGTACTTTTACGTGTGTGCCATACAGAGAAGGGGGGGGGGGCTCTGTGTATTATTTTTCTAAATCGTTCATGCAGAAGGGGCATTACATATTTTTGTGATTTTTGGATGGAGCCAGGCAGGAAGTTGCTTCGATGCCCGGGTGACTTTGAACAATTTGTGGACGCAGCAATGCGTAGTCTTGCTTATTTTGTGGCCTGGGAGCTGTGAAGCCAGGTACTTATTCAACATTAATCTTTAGTACAGACTACAGCCAGTCATTAGTCTTGTCGACTGATGCGATTTCTCTGTTTAGCAGCCAGTCAGGCGCATGCCACTGTCTGACATCATCAAGCTGTTCACCTGTCGCTGCCAAAACACTAAACATCCTTCTGAAATGCAGTTCAGTTCTGAGGGCCCACAGCTTATGAGAAAAAAAAAACGTACCATGAAAAATGCCATGGTATGATTTCCTTTTACTAACTTTTGCTATCATCACTTAGCCTGGGAAAACCCAGACAACTTCCGGCAAATTTAGATTTGCTCTGAAAGTTATGCCGCGTTCCAGGCAACCTGTAACCCGTGTTTTTCCAACCTTATACCCGTGAAAGTGCACTGGAACTGCAGTCAAACCCGTGACTTCCCACCTGTGAACTCGTACTAGATCGATGTACTCCCAGTTCAAGCTCTGACGTCACATAGCCCGCGAAACCATACAAAACAACAATGGTTTGTTTACATCTAGCTACCACAATTCCTTGCGCTCAGGTAGTTTGGCGTGACTGGCCTGGAACGCTACAAAGTCGTGAGTCGTGGTTTGAAGTCGTGATTTACGTGCTCAAAAACCTGCCTGGAACGCAGCACTAGTCTGGCAAAGAGCTCATTCAAGCCCATTTCCAATCCATCGAAATCGAGGCACCAATCAGAAACGTTGGGGCGGGCTTTACACGATGACGACAGCGCTGGGATTTTGAAGCAGATTTTGTAGCCTACATTACAAAGATGGATGCCGGCGTCGAACATCACTCGTTCGAATCAGCTATCGCGTCTGTTTTAAGCGATTTGAATGTTTCCTTTTTGTTAAAACCCGAGCAAAGAACAACACTCGGAGATATTTCTCCGCCGCTCTGCATTCGTCATCTCCTTCATCGCTCTGATTGGGTTTAGGTCTATCCGCGACGTCCGTTGGTGACGCCCCTCTGGAAATGATTTGTCTATGACGCTTTGCCAGACCATAACTCAGTTACAACTGAGAATGGTCTGGTTTTAACCAGGCTAATCATCACTATGAAACCATTTTTTTTACTTGCTAATAATAATAATATACAGTATTATACAATAAACACAAAAAGTATCAAAATTACCATGGAACTACAATTTTGGACAAGTACCATATTATTAGTATTACTTTAACCCTCGGTTTCACAGACAAGGCTTAAACTAGTCCCAGACTAAAATGCATGAGCTGTTTTAACTGAAAGCAACTTGCACTGATATATCTTATATCAGTGCCATTGTTTTGTCATAATGCACAACAGTAATGTTTATAACTTATAAGCCACATTTATAAAAGCTACTTTAAATGTCCTAATTGAAGTAATCCTGGCTTAATCGAAGCCCTGTCTGTGAAACCGGGAGTCTTAGAAAAAAAGAACATTACTGGTGTGCATCTTGAGATAAAACAATGGCACTGACATATTTTAAGATATGTCAATGCAAGTTGCTTTCAGTTAAAACAGCTGAACAATGCATTTTAGTCTGGGACTAGCTTAAGCATGAGCCGTATCTGTGAAACACAGTGTATGCATCTGTATCTTGGAGTACCATGTAAATACCATGAAATAATGTACCATGGTTTTACCATCTGAAATTGTAAGTGTAGTTAGCTGGTCTACTCTAAAACATGATTAAAATATGTGTTACCTGCTGTGACTTTACGCCTGGTCAAGCAACAAAAGTGGTGGAAAGGGAAAACTAAATTGATTTATTGAATTGGAAAAAATGATGGCAAAGCTTACTTTGTGAGGCGTTACTGCCAACAAATTTACAATTACAAACCCCTCACATGGTTCCTCACCCAGCGGAACTATATTCCACAGCGCTAAAATCCACAGCTCTGATTTCCACACGGACCATTTTAGGAGCGGGACATATTCTTTGACATTGCTGTAAAGGGGGAGGGACAAAAACAAACAGTTACAAAACGTGTTAGAAAGTATCAATCACTGATTCCTGCTTTATAGTTACAATAATACTCTATTATTGTGATTTTAGCAGAACCATGTATCGGCGACCGCTGCAGTCCGCCGTTAGACATTTATTAAACGCTTCAGCATCAAGACCTGTCCTCGGAAAGGTAATTTATAGAAACTTAACGTTATAACTTACATACAAAAAGACAGTAACGTCACCTAGGGGGTTTATATTGCCGTCCTTTAAAACGTTGTCTTCATTTACGTTCTAAGACTGACATTATAATGTTGTTTGGAGTTATTTACATTATTTATAACATGATGGACATCAGTAAATCTGACCTAACCTGTACTACTACTGCACCAGACGTGACATTATGCAAATAGTCAATATTATAAATAATATATGTGCAAAATTATAAAAGCACATCTTGTAATTATTATTATTGTTATTATCATCAATGCATTGTGCCATAATTCTTTCGAACCTGATTCATATTGCCTACTTATGCTCCAATTTAGAACATTTGATTCTACTCCTCTTGATCTGTTGGTTTATCAGTCATATTAAGACAATTAAGGGATAAGCAGTAGTCAGTAGTCAGATTGAAAATGGAAAGCACTTGTCAAGATATGTTTGCTTCCTAGGTCATTGTACAAGCTGCGTGTCAGTCCAGGGCTGTGGTGGCTTGCCGGATAACAGCGAATGCTTGGGTCCCCAATCTCTCTCAATGTCGATCTCTTCACATCACTAGAGAGGTGTGTGTGCCGCCTTTTCCAATCTCAGTTGTCCAGTTCTTTCTCAAGCTAAGGAATCCAGTTTCAAGTCAGCCAAAGGGATCCATTCTGATCTCTGGAAACTTTTTATAAGCAATAGAATCTCAATTCATATGTAGGTGGGATAATAAAACTAAGTACATAATTTTATTACAGGAACAAAAATATAACGAGAGTCCCCATTGCGAAAAATGATTTGTACTTCAAAAATAAAATGTCCAGAGACATTTATTTTACATTTATGAGAAATTTGGGTTGTAATTTTTTGGATCGCAAAAGAATCTCAATGAATATTTAGGTAAGAAAAGACCACTTACATTAGCTAACTATTCAGATGCATTGTTATAGAGTAAACTGTTTTTTTTTACAGGCACATTTTATCTGTTCTTGAATCAGTGGTGTCATAAACATGAAATAGCCTACAGTACCAGTCAAACTTTGCACACATATACTGTTTCTTTATTAGTACTATTTATTTAGTATCATATATTTTAATGATAGTTATCAAAGCTACGAAATCACACAAATGGAAGTAATATGGGAATGTTGCTAAAAATGTACACTACCGTTCAAAAGTTTGGGGTCGGTACGATTTTAAATACTTTTAAAAGAATTCTCTTCTGCTAACCATGGCTGCGCTTATTTGATTAAAAATACAACAAAAATCAGTTATAGTATTAAATATTATTCCAGTGTAAATCAGCTGTTTTCTGTGTGAATATATATAGTAAAGTGTGATTTATT